CCAACTTTAAAAGATAAAATAGCATTCTTTCTTACATATCTTTAGAAAAGACATCTTCTCGGCCAGTGGGAAAGATGACAAGTGACACTCACGTCTCAGAGTCCAAATTCTTGGCCACTAAATTACTGTATATGCAAACATCAAAAGGAGGATGGGAGAGGGAACATCACTATTCTAGAAGTAGAAAAATGTTCTCATAAGTTTTGTGTTATCTTAAAAGACTGTCAGGGCTTTGCTTGGTGCTTGGCTACACCCTTTTTATGCCACTGAATCCATTAGGGTGTAACACGTTGATGGGTAATGAAGAATTAGAGGTAACCACTTGGGCAGTCTGACAAGAGTTCGGTTTAAAGTAGACATAAGCTCTCTGGAGATAGCTACCATAAGGAACATTCGTCTTCAAGTCCATTGTTTGTTTTAATCCAATGAGTCAAGAGATAAAAACTGAAGAGTAAGATCTATGAAGAGAAATCACAAATATTAAGCCTGGCAAATGGAAAAATACAGGCAGGGAATAGAGTGAAGCCCAAGTTAGACTTTCAGATTGTCCTAGCAAAATTCTCATTAAATAGGAAAATTAGGCCCACCTGACCACAATAGTTCAGTCTAATCCAGAATTAGCAAGAAAGCTACTGGTATAGGTTCTTATTGTGTTTTCAAATATAGTTTTTGTTTAATTTTTTCATCACATTAAAGTGATGTACAATTATGACACATCATACATGATTATATGTGTTTGTGTTAGGCACACACACCCGAATGACATGTATGTAGATATATGTACACATATTTGAAAGTATAAAGTACCAAGAAGAACATACAATTAAAAACCAAATCCACCACCCAACAACAACTAATGTCTTCTGCTTTTAAGGAGAAATGGTGGTAGAGAATATGATTTTCAACATTAAATAAAGTCTCCAAACATTTTGAACTAGAAGAATCAAATAAGGTTAATAAACCAATGTCCAACTAGCAAGGTTTGGAAATTCTAGTCTAGAAAGGTCAGGACATGATCTAGACCACACAGTTTCTCACCTACCCAATCATGATAAAAAATCAGCTCTACAACTCATCGTCCAGTTCACAAACGGCAAGAGGTTTCAGGCAACAGCTCTAAACAAGAATCAAACTTTGTCACTGGCCCTAGAAGAGATACAATTTACAAAGTACCAGATTCCTTGCAAGATGAGACCTTGATGCTGAGAAGAATTAGTGTACCTTAAGTATTGTAGTTCTGTAGTTACAGAGGGGAATTTTAGAATTTTCCCTCAGAGGTTTTGACATTGCTACCTTAGTTTATAGCAGTTCTTTACTATGACTAGTTAAGTGAAAGTTTGAATTATAATCAAGCAGATCTTCACACAGAAAGTTAGTATTGCTGGCTTACCTTCAAAAGAACTTGTGCTTTCAATTATTTTCTGGGACATGGCGAGTATTTGTCCACACTGATTCAAATGGTATACATTTACATCAAGTGTCTCTAGACAGATCCAGGGCTGAGATTATGACTATGGAATCAAACCAAATGAAGAAGCCCTTGTTAAACCTACAGCTCGGTTTGAGCTGCATTGTGCTCTATACTGCATGCCGTACCCTATTCCAGCTGGAAGACAGATCTTTCTTATGTTCACAGTAGTTTTGTGCACAAAAGGGAAGGGGACCAAGAAATGGAGGGAAGGGGGAAGTAGGAGGTTGGAAGGGAATATAAAAAGAATTAGGTGTGTTTTGTACATGGACCAACTCCCCGTGATGACTGTAATCATTATGTACTTCAAACGTGCTAATTAAGATAAAAACAAAAATAAATAACATGATATGAAGAATGTTGAATTATGAAACCAAATCTATGTCCAATACTTGGCATCCAATTAAAAGATATCTTTTTATTGCTTAGTTTCCTTAAATAAACTTTATATTGGAATATTTTTTTAGTTACAGAAAAATTGCAAAAATAGGACAGAGTTCTCATTGATCCCTTACCCAATTCCTCCCATTGTTCATGACTTCTACCAGCGTGGTACATTTGTCACAACTAAGAAACCAACAATGGTATATTATCATTAACACAACTCAGGACTTCATTCCAATTTCACCAGTTTTCCCATTAAATGTCCTCTTTCTGTTTCAGAATTCCTAAGATACCACATTGTGTTCAATCATCTTATCTCCTTAGTCTTCTTCTGGCCTATGACAGTTTTTTGTTTGTTTTTCTCTATGTTTTTCATGACATTGAAAATTTTCAGTATTGTCAGGTATCTTATAGAATGTTCCTCAATTGGGATTTGCCTAATGTTTTTCTTACTAGACCACAATTGTGGATTTTCAGAAAAGATAAAGTAGCCTTCTTGTCAGAACATATCAGGGGGTACATGTGTGCACATGACATGCCTGGTGATGTCACCTTTCATCATTTATTTAAGGGGATGTCTGCCAAATTACTCCACTATAATGTTACTGTGTGTCTTAGTCACGTTCCTCATCGCTGGGACAAAATACCCAACACCCACACCTTAAAGGAGGAAAGGTTTATTTTGGCTCCTGTCTCAGTCCATAGTTGGCAGGCTCCGAAGCAGGACAGCATGGCAAAGGGGCATACAGAGGAGCGCTGCTTACAGCATGGTGTCCTGGAAGCAGAGAGAGGTGAAGGCTGCATCTCACCAACAGTGAGCCTTGTCTTCCGACCAGGCCCACCTCCTAACAGCAAACCAGCTAAGCCCCTATAATCCAATCCCTTCCAGTGGTCCCACCTATGATCACATGAAGCTTTAGGGGAGCATCTGGCTATAAACCATAACACTGTTTTTCTCTCGTATTTCCATAGTGAATTTTTTGGAAGTGAGTTACTAGATCCAGGTCACCCTGGAGTGTATGTGAAGGGACAGAATCCCTCCCTCCCAGAGGGGCAAGTATCTACATACATTGTCTGTCTGCTGAGATAGACTTTGCAGAATGAGGGAAGATGAGTCTTGTCTACTTGGGCATTTGGAAAAAAAAGAACATTTATATATTTATGTCAGTCAATTTTTTTCCCTAAGCTAGGTCATTTATTATAAATCTGATATTCTTTAAATTAAAAAAAGTAATTGTGATGGCATTTAGTTGCCTCTTTACATTCCTTATGTCATTTCAAGGATTGATGCTTTATATTCCATGTCAATAGAGGTATAGGGCCAGGGATTTAGCTCAGTGGTGCTGCCACCAGCCTTATAAGCACAGGGTGCAGAGTTCAATCACTCGTACCAAAAAAAAAAAAAAAAGGTATAATGTCCTCAAGAATAGTTGGGAACTGATGCTCGCCAATGATTGTAGCATTTCTACTATACAGATATCATAGGTGTAATAAACCCTAAGAACACAGAGAATCAAAAAATGTGGTAAAATAACTAGGTAGTGATACATTTTGAGTATTTATCTTTATTTTAATATAATTTATTTCATTGTAAGTTTATATAATTTTTCACAGTTACTGAACTTAACAACCAACTCTGAGATTTCTGAAAAATATCACAACTCTATCTACTAACACCATTATTAGAATACATCTAGGGCTGGGGATTTAGCTCAGTGGTTCTGCCGCCTGCCTCGCAAGCACAAGGACCCGGGTTCGATCCCTGGTACAAAAAAAAAAAAAAAAGAATACATCTAGAATGATTCACATAAAACTACTAATAGTAGCCACCTCTGGAAAATAAGTTGGAAGTCAGAGAAGTTTTTCTTTACATTTCATATTATTTGATATATTTTAAACAAATATGTATTATGCTTAGGACAATCATTTTATTTTTTAATTGAATTTATTGGTACATTCTAGGTATACAGTACAGTTACATTCATTACTGGGATCTTGTACCTTTACATGACAGGTCTTGGTTCTTATTTTTCACCTTGTCCCCACCCTCCCTTCACCAATCATTTTAAAATTTAAGAATACTATACTGTATTAGAAAGGTGATGTGTAATGCTAATTGTGTAAGGAGAAAGGAGATTAAAAATGGTGGAAGAACTGGGTTTCAATTTGCCAACGATTAAAGGTAGACCCATATCTCTCACCATGCACTAAACTAAAATCAAAATGGATCAAAGATCTAAATACTAAAACAGAAACACTAAACCTGCTGGAAGACAGGTTAGGCAGAACTCTTGAAGACACTGGCATAGGAAATGACTTTAGGAACAAAACCTCAGTAGCACAGGAACTAGCACAAAGAATCAACAAGTGGGATCTCATCTTATTAAAAAGCTTCTGCACAGCATGAGAAACAACCAACATGGGAGTGCAGACTAGTGCAACCACTGTGGAAATCAATATGGAGATACCTCAAAGAGCTGGGACTAGAGGTTCCATTTGACCCAGCCATCCCTCTGCTGGGTATCTTTCCAAAAGAATTAAAAGCATCATATCACAGTGATACATGCGCACCTATGTTTATAGCGGCACAGTTTGTAATAGCTAAAACTTGGAAACAGCCCATTTGCCCATCCGTTGGAGACTGGATAAAGAAGATGTGGTTTTTAAAAATACAAAATGGAGTACTTCTGAGCCATAAAGAATGATAAAGATATCTATAGCTAAATGGATGCAACTGGAGGCCTCTTAAGTGAAGCAAATAGGACACATGTGTAAATACCAAATTGTCTCTAGTATGAGAAACTGAACATGTAAATGAGGACCAAAATGTATAGAAGAGAATGTGAAATAGGAAGCCAAGATTCAAAGGGGAAGGGGAAGTGGGGGGGGTGGGGAAAAGGAAAAGAAGAGAAAGAAAAACTATGAGGAAGGAAAAAATAGAAACAAAGCTTTTGTAAATAGGGAGGGGTGGAGGGGTGGAAGGGAGGGCAGGAGAATGAGGAAAAACAAGAACCAAGGTATATCATGTACAGATACAAACTCCAATGATGAATGTGATCATAATGTATACTTAAAATGTAGCATGTAGCAATAAAGTTAATTTTGAAAAATTAAATTATATATGTCTATTTTTGCATTTATTGGGGGTTAAAGAAGAAACTAACAAAAATATTACCCAAAGAGAGCAAGGGAAGTCAGAGAATATATTTTTCATTTTGTTTTGATACTTGAACTATACCGAATAAGACCCATTTTGCTCTGTATACCAAGCACTGACATGAGTTTTACACAAGAGAAAGATTTTGTTCTTGAGCCACAAATCATAAAGAGGGAGGGCCCTGTCCCCAATTTCAAAACTACCTCTCTGAAGATAACGTTTAGGAGTCTGAGGCAGAGGAGAAGGTGACTGGCGACAGGAAGATCTGTATAGTCACAGGTGAATGTCATGATTCTAAGCAGGTCACAAGTTTAGAAAATGGCAGCGTTAGTGTGATCTGAAGATGCAGTTCTTGGCTCTTCACTATTGAAAGGTCATCATTGTACCTGAGCAGGCCCATGCAAAGTAGAAAGTGTGGCTGAATTCAGCTGGTTTGAGAGAAACAAAAGCAGCCTCCCACTTCCTGACAACCAGCTTGAACATCTGTTACCATAGTGACCATACATCAGAGGTGTTACTAATAGCAAAGCTAATGAAGGTAAATTGCTCAGTCATCTCACCTCTGAAATGACTGATAAAAGCAAGCAATGTTTTCCCTTGGTTTTAGAACCATATTTGGGGCTCAAATATTTTTTTCCCCCTAGTTAAAAACATTTTTAAGAGATCAGGACTTAGAGTGTAGCTCAGTGGTAGAGCATTTACCTTCTATACAGGAGTCCTCGGCTTCAAACTCCAGCACCCCCCCCACGCAACAAAATAAAGGTTTTTTAATCATTTATCATTACACATCAGAGACTGCCTTTTTTTAAGGACAAGTCCAATTGAAACAGAAGAATTTTTCTCCTGGTTTTCATAACAAATTCATGGTCAGGGTGTCTTTCAAAGGACTTGAGGGGTGAGTCATTGTTCAAATGGCTATGTTACATGGCTATGTTAGCACTGGCCCCAAGATGCAAATAATATAAGGCACAATTGTTATAAGCAAACAGCAGTATTAAGATGAAGACATTTTTTCCAGGTAGAAAATGGAAGAGGGCCAGACATCCTTGAGGTTCTCCACCTTTTTATTCCTCTCTTGCACTAGTGCTAGGAAGGCATGTTTGGCTAGCAGAACAGGTGATGTTTGCTTAATGCTTGCTGAAACGCAGCCACTTGACTGAAGTCAAACAATTCTGAAGCCGCTTCTCGATTCTGAGAGATGAGGCAGAAGCCTTCTTTCTGTGGTGCAATTGCAGAAGCGACCTTGTTGAAGGCCCCACCTATTATTCCAGCGGTAGTTAGCTCACCTTCATAAAGGTGATAGCAAACATCTATTACCTAAGACAGCAGGAACCTGAGAAGGATCTGGCTCCACAGGTCCCCATCATTTCAGGCCTTGGTGGTAGCCTCCCAGAAGTAATGACAAGCAATTTCTCTGCCAGACCAAGGAATCTGCATAGTATGTGTGACCGATTAGGATTAATGTTAAAGATCTAGTTGGAACTGAATGTGAATGTGATTTACACATGCACACACATCTGAATTCTTTTTCAAAAACCACAGCCATAACATGTGAGGATGTTGATTGCAAACAAACTTTAATCTTAGTCTTAAAGATTAAAATGGGGCTTGGGATCTAGCTCAGTGGTAGATCACTTGCCTGTCATGCAAGAGGTCCTGGGTTCAGTAAAAAAAGATAGGAAAAGAAGAGCTTGAAATGACAGCAAAAGCCTGTATCAGCAACATTTCAAAAGAGTCTGGGACAGTCTTTGTAGCATCGTAATTCTATAATGTTGAGATGGGTCAAGCAGAGCAAGCCCAAAGGCCTACACACATAGGCTAATTCTACTTTTATTATCATTGGCATAGAATTTTTGCAGGGTTTTCTTTGTGTGCTGAGGAATGAACTCAGAGCTTTGCATGTACTAAACATACGCTGTATCACAGAGCTATACCACCTGTTCCAGCATACAAATTTTGAAACTGCATTTTCATTCGTTTATAAAAATAAGATGGAGCATGAACACAGTAAATTAGAAGACATGAGTTAGTGATTGGCACTTTTTGCTGACATCATAGAGACAACTGAGCTCAGCAAGAATCATCAAGAAATGCCAAACTGTTCGGTGAGGGTTTGAGGAGGCATATACTTGAGTCTCAAATCTCCCCACAGCACTAATTATGAAGGAGGAGGAGGAGGTGACAAGTTCACACTGCAGAAACCTCACCAGCCCCATAGACAGGTGATCAAAGTTAGCATCAATGAATGGGGCATACTGACCTCCAGTGCCTCCTGATGTGCCGCACTGGGAAGGACTTAGCCTCACAAGCCATGAGTCCTACCCACAATTCTCTGACTCTAACCACAGACAGACACTGGGCAAAGCCAAATTGAGAGAAATCCTACAAACCTAGTGGTCCATATTCTTCAAAGGTGTGAATGTCCCCAAAGGCAAAGACAGGTAAGGGATTGTTCCAGATTAAAAAGACATGAAAACCAAATGCAAGACAGGCTCCTGGATTGGATCCCAGATGAGGAGGGAGAAAAGTGCTGTAAAAGATAATGGAACAGAACAATTGGCAAAATGTAAACATGGGCTTCATATTATACAATCATCATTGTACTCATGTTAACACTCCTGCATTTGATCATTGCGCTGTGGTTATGTAAGAGAATACCCTTATACTTAAGAAATATAAGGTGAGGTGCTTTGAAAGGAAAGGGAGAGAAATTGTTAACTGAACTGGATGTAGGGTATAGGGAATTCTTTTGACTATTCTTACAATTTTAAGTTTGAAATTATAGGTGTTTTTTCTTTGCTTTTTAAAAATTTTTATTTATATTAGCACCTACTTGCTGTACATAACGATTGCATTCATCATAGGGAGTTGGTCAATTTATAAAACACACTTTCATTCTTTTATCACTCCCTTTCCTTCTTTCCTTACTCGCTCCAACTCTCCGTCCCCTATTTGCAAAAGATCTATTTCCCTGTTTGTTTTAAAGTTACTAAAATGTGTCACATGGTGATTTCTTTCAAAGGAAAAGAGTACCTTCATATTCTGAGCCTCTGTTGAGGCGCTGGGCCGCATTGTGGTCACAGGAGGAGCTGCTATCTTGGGGTTCCTGTGCTGTGAAGACAAAAGGGTTCGTGAAGCACAGAAGTCAAATAACTATTTGGACATTTAAAGAACTGGCTGGCCGTGGTAGCACACACATATAATCCCAGCAGTCAGGAGGATTGCTAGGAGTTGGAGACCCAGTCTTAAGAAAAAAATAATTAATTAAAGAACTGGCCTCATCTGTAGGGTGAGGTCCAACACCAAAGAAGGTCTGTGAGAGACCCATCCTGGAAGCAACAGCACTTAGGGGTGAGAGAGCAAAGTCAAGCGGAGACATTGGTGGAACAAGAATATTCAGAAATTAGAGACTGAAGTGTGGTGAGATGGAAGGATTTGGCAAGTAGAGCATGGCAGCGCTGTCGAAAGCTCCCAAGAGGCCGGCAGAGGGGAGAAATCACAGTTTATTTCAGAGCAAAGAGGCTGTTGCAATGAGAGACCTTCTGCTGAGCATCTAGAAGGTCTTTAGTTCTGTCAGCGTTCACAGCAACTCCGTGCCTTGTCACCCACCCCTCTCCCGCTTTGCAGACAACAAACCTGAAGCTCTTAGACTTTGCGAAGCTTATACAAAATGGCACAGCAGGCCGGGAGCTGAGTGGGAACAAGTGACAGGTTCGGAGGTGACGGTGAAGCACAGTGTATCATTTTATCTGTTAGTCGTCAGGAGCCTGGGAGAAGGAATGGAAAACGGCTTGGGGAGGGGATTCAGGGAGACTCCAGCAGCCCATGGGCAGAGAGGGTTGTGAGCTAGCGGGAAGTGATTGATTAGGAGTCCAATATAGACAGAAAAGAAAGGAAATGAGGCCAAGGAGAGGCAGGAGGCTGGGAAATGGAAGTCGTGACAAGCGTGAATCTGACTCACACCAAGAAAGACATGAGAAAGACATTTATATCACAGATCAGTAAACACACACACCCCCTATTCTCTCACACATAAATAACTCAAGCAGAAGTTTGATTCCACATTTTTTACCCTTACCATGCATGAGAGTCTGGTAATTCCTGTTCGATTTCTTTTCAGTGATTTGTATTGTCTTGCTCATTTTTTAAAATTCTCTTGTTTGTAATGCTGCTGAAGATCAACACAGGCTGATTTCCTGAGACTGCAAAGCAGGCTCCGGGGTGTGGTCTGAAGCGTTTTAGAGCGGGGAGAGGGAGCAGAAGTTAGAAGGGTTCCGATGAATCTACTTCAGCTTTCCTCCCTTAGCTGGGCCTGCGTCCCCCCCTCATCCTGTGAGGCACTGCCCTCGCTTGCCCTTAGGCCCTGATGAGCCCCTATTGAGAAGCTCTGTGGTGGCAGGGGATCAAGTCACCAGGACCTTGTCCAAGCCAAATGCTTACGGAATTGTAGGTATACACAGATGTCAGCATTCATGGGTGTTGGCTTCCAGGAGAGGAGTGCCAATAAATTCTAGCTCTCTCAGAGGAATGTGCTCAAAAGTATAGAGTAGCTTTCTTTGGGGCAGATGATTCTTCATGCCCGCATTAGATTCGATTGACCTTGCCTCTTTCTACTCTAAAGAGCTCATTCTTTAAAAAATGAGCTGAAGACCTAAATAGAATTCCTTTCTGTTATCCATCTCTTCTAGTGGGAAACTTCATGACCTATTTCAGAAAAGATGCACCTTGGTTATAACACAGAGCATGTACAAAGTCATTGGAGCCTTAGAAGAATCCGTGAGGTATAAATGTGAGGCTGTGAGAATTTATGTTTGGATATATGAACTCAAATGGTCTTATCTTCTGAGCTCCTGTTACCAATAATTAATTGTTGAAAACACAAGTCCAAGGTTATATATACATCACAATCGTCAAAAAATCCAGTTTATAGCTAGGTGTGGTGGCACATACCTGTAATTCCAACACTCTTGAAAGATGAAGTAGAAGGATCACAAGTTCAAGCGCAGCCTGAGAAACTTAGTGACAATTATTGAGACCCTGTCTCAAAAATGAAAAGAAAAATTGGGGCTGGGAATTTAGCTCAGTGGTGTCATGTCTGCCTCACAAGCATAAGGTCCTGAGCTCAATCCCTGGTACCACTAAAAAAAATGCTGGGGATGTAGCTTAATGCAAAGGCACAGTAAAATCCCCAGGACAGCCAAAAAATTGTTTATATTTTTAAAATTTCATTTTGGGATAGGCCCTTCCAACTCTCTCTCTCTCTCTCTCTGA